GGTTTGATAAAAAACACTGGAGTCAAAGAGTGGGATAGGCCCGATGCGGTAACCCGGAGGTCAGAATCTTAAATTCATTTATTCCATCGAAGCGGAAGATGGGGAAACTCGGCACCGTTAAATTTCGAACGCCGTCAGGATCGTTGGCTTGCGACGATGCGTTCGGTACCATGCAGGCATCGATCGTGGTACCTGACCAGTGAGTGATGCTGCCGGAAGTGCTCCAGGACAGGCCGCCAAGACTCACATGGAGTTACCCTACCCAACAGCCTCCAATCACCACCTACGCCCCTGCTATCACCACCATGACCCCCGGTACCTACATATTTGAGGATGGCGATGGACTCGGAGTGGCCTATTGAATCCAGAGGCATGGAATCGGGAATTGTAGGGCTACGGTTCCCGGGTAACCTCAAAATCCTGTCCGACATTGCCCTACTATATATACTCTTTTTGATCGCTTGGGTTATTGGTTTTCATTCCTGTACTGTTTGATTGTTGTTGAAGGTATGGGTTCAGGTGTTCTCCGATTAAGCTATTGTTGATATCCATTGCATATGGGTGACTGAAGAATCTGTATTGAATATCAGTTATGTTTCGAATATATTAGATCTCTGGTATAGCCTGAGAGAAAATCAGGAGTTTACAGAGTCCAGTGTCTCTGTTATACGTTATGTATATTTTGTATGGAGTTTTTGTCAAAAGTATCTTCGACATGTGATTCATCGTAATGACAACAGCTGTGGGAATAGAGAAGAAACCTTTGTCTTCCTTTACTGGTATACTTATAGTGGGCTTGAATATTTTATTTATCGAAAGGGAAGTGACAAGTTTGTATGTCTCTAAAATGGTGGACTCTAACAGCAACATCTACATAAGATGAACTTTGCCAGTACTTATATAGTTTAAAATAAAATGTTCCTGATACTAGGTACGAACATAAAACCAATGTATTTAAATATTCATTGAGAGGTTCTGTACTCATTTTTTTCCCTTATTTCAGTCTATTCGGCGACTAAATGATATCACAACAATAAGCTGAGTATCAGTGTATAGTTTATGTTCTTTTGGGATTTTCGCCTATTGCAGCATATAAACAGATATACGTACTTTTTACAACCTCAAACCTTAAAGGGATCTGTTACTTGTGCTCACTGAATTTCTTGATTTGTACAGAAGAAATTGAAATATACAGTTTAAACAACATTATTGTAATGCTTGAAAGGTGTATGGAGACTACTCAACGATTAGCTACTTAGATTTATACTGATATACCGGAGACGTTATTAGTAAAATGTAACACAGGAGATATGGCTTTGCCAAAAACATGTGAACAATCTAGAAAATCTTTCCCAAATAATATGGCATATGACAAACATGTTTGGGCAATAGTCTTTAATCGTTTTTATTGATTAATGAGAATGAGTCAGGATCGGTTTCATATACTAAATGACTCACGATAAGAAAAAACTGAAGCGGAATAGGAATACAATCTTTCTGCTGTAGTTCTAACGAATGCGTAGGGGACCCATCCGAGTCAAGAAAGCACTAAGCTTTGAACCTCGGAGAATCTTTTCGTAACATTCCACCGCAGTCCTACAACCGTGTTTTTTCAATGCAGTTGCAGCTACAAGAAGAAAACACCAGATTCAATGCAGAGCCATATGTTGGATAAGCCATTACGACATATTGGAAACCTACCTGATGGCTCCCATGTTGACCCCGCAGGAGTGATGGTCTCATCGTTGTCACCGACAGAAACTGCAGATGGGGCTAAATCTAAAACTATTCCGGGTTTGAGGATGAGAAAAACTGGAAATGCCAGTAGGGAGAGAAATACTGGTGGGCTGTTACGAACCACTACCGCAACACGGAGGAAGCATGAGTCATCGGAAAGTGCCGGAAGTTTCTGCGAAGGATTAGTAATCGGGTTGTTTCTTCTTTCTTATATATAGGGGTGCTTGCCCCCTCACCGTCTACTTCTTTCCTTACGCAACATCTTGTATTTTACTTTGAGTTATTACTTTGGGGGATTTACTTCGCTTCAATACACTTCTTTACTCTCCGTCCACGTTACGTCTGCTGCCCATCATGCTCCTCGCATCCGCCGTTATGTTCCTCGTCGTCGCCCTCGTGGCCCTCTGCTCGCTTACCCCGCTGTTCCCCTCGGCCCCCTCGCCGACCGCTGTCTCCTCCGCCCTAGCGTGGACCCTTGTCCCTGCCCTCGGGCACACCGCTGACTCCACCCTCGCCATCGTGCGAGCCTACGTTCTCCTTCCCAGGAGCCCCCTAGTGTCCTTCGACCCCCTTGCCAAGCCCTCGCACACGGTTCCTTACACTATGTTGCGTGACTTATGGTCGACCGACACCCTCTCTCCGAAGAACACCAACACACTGCTACCATTCGCTTACGCCGCCCTCTTCCTCCCAGCCTGGACAACAGCCTATCTACTCGGTAGACTTCTCCCCCGAGCTAGGGAGGAACCATTCGCCGACCAAACCCCCCCACTATTGACACTCCGATGCACTCGACGACTACAACGCCTCCTCCTCCAACGTGCTGCCTCTTTTGGAAACCCTACAGGAAACGACCCGGGTTGGTGTTTCCTAACACTAACCTCCAGGGACTTCCACCCCTACCTCATCGGCATCGAACCATACCCATCGCCTGTCAAAGTCTTGAATACCCTTCATCGGTTAGGAGCACCACTACTCCCTGCCCTGGTCACCCGTCATGGGGGCACAGCCCACGTCCCCAACGCCCCCGGCGCCCACACGGCCACACGACTCTTACGGACGAGAAGGGTAGGAGCCAAACTCAAAATCGGACAACTACACCACCCCGGCGACTGCGAACCCTTTGAAGTACCAATACGGCTATCTCGGAACAAGGACGCGCTCCAGGCGCTGGTGGACACCGGAGCCACCGGATATGGGTTCATTGACGCTTCCTTCGCCAAGGCCCGCGGATATCCCCTCGAAGAACTAGCGACCCCAAGACATTTGCAAGTGATCGATGGACGAGCCATCGCCTCTGGAGCCATCACCCACTGTTGCAAACTCCGCCTCGAGATGAACGACCATGTGGAAGGGGCCTCCTTGTTTGTCACCAAGCTCGGCGACGCGAAAGTGGTCCTCGGACTCCCCTGGCTACAACACCACGCTGCCGAAATACGGTTCGCCGACCGATCCATCTCCTTCCACGCCGAACGCTGCCGACAGCACACTGCAACTCTCTGGACCTCCACCCTCACCTGTCCCCCATTGACCGCCTCCGCCGCCACCCTGCCGCCCCCGCCGATACCCCCAAGGCCAGCCACCCCTCGCCGCACGATTACCTTGTCCGCCGCCCGATTCCGCAGAGAAGCACAACAACCGGACAACCAGCTTTTCCTCCTCGCAGCCCGAGCCCCAAGCCCAAACTCATCGCCGTCCCAATCAACCGATGAACTGGTGCCTGCCGCTTACCACCAATACCTCCACCTGTTCCAGGAATCCGAGGCCCAAGCGCTCCCCCCCCACCGGTACATCGATCACGAAATCCCGTTGATGGAAGGCAAGCAACCACCCTTTGGCCCCCTGTACGGCATGTCCTCGGAGGAACTAAAAACCCTGCGGGAATACCTGGATGACCAGCTAGCTCGAGGGTACATCCGTTCATCTTCGTCCCCTGCAGGAGCTCCCGTCCTGTTCATCAAAAAGAAGGACGGATCCTTAAGGCTATGTGTGGATTACCGCGCCCTCAACGCAGTCACCATCAAGAACCGCTACCCCCTGCCGTTGATCAACGACACCTTGGACCGATTAAAAGACGCCAAGGTATACACCAAGTTGGACCTCCGCCAGGGCTACAACCAAATCCGAATCAAGGAAGGGGAAGAATGGAAAACAGCCTTCCGAACCCGGTACGGGCTGTTCGAATACCTGGTCATGCCATTCGGACTCACCAACGCCCCCGCTACCTTCCAGGCCTTCATGAACGATACCCTCCGAACCCACTTGGACGACTTTTGCACGGCGTACCTCGATGATATCCTGATCTACTCCAACACGCCCGAAGAACACCAGCAGCATGTCCGCATTGTCCTGGACAAACTACAAGCCGCGGGCCTCCACTGCAAGCCAGAGAAGTGTGAGTTCCACGTGGATTGTACCGAGTACCTGGGGTAAATCATATCCGGCGAAGGGTCACCATGGCAACCGACAAAACAAAGGCGATCCAGGAGTGGAAGACACTCACCTCGGTCCACGACGTACAGGTCTTTTTGGGGTTCGCCAACTTCTACCGAAGATTCATCCGCGATTACTCCAAGGTAGTATCCCCCATGACGAACCTGTTGAAGAAGGACGCCCCGTTCGTATGGACAACCGCGGCGGAACACGCTTTCGCCCAACTAAAGGAAGCTTTCACCACCGCCCCGGTACTAAGGCACTATGACCCCGAACGAGCGTGCATAGTGGAAACCGATGCCTCTGACTTCGTTGCGGCAGCTGTACTCTCCCAGAAGGACGACCAGGGAATCCTACACCCTGTGGCGTTCTACTCCCACAAGATGACGCCAGCCGAGTGCAACTATGACATTTATGACAAAGAGTTGCTAGCGATCATACGCGCGTTTGAACAATGGCGAAAGTACTTGGAACCCAACAACCAAGAAACCACGGTGTACTGCGATCATAAGAACCTGGAGCACTTCATGTCCACAAAGATCCTTAACCGTCGTCAAGCCCGCTGGTCCTTAACGCTGTCCTCCTTCAACTTTGTAGTCACCTACCGCCCGGGTACGAAGAATGGGAAACCTGATGCCCTCACACGTCGATCTGGAGATCTCCCTAAGGAAGGGGATGAAAGATTGACCCAGCAGCACCAGGTTGTACTAAAACCAAAGAACCTTCGTCTGGCGGCCGCACTACAGACCCCCACACCCTCCAAAGTGGCACCATCCCGCCAAAGGGAACTAGAGACTGCACTGGCCAAGGACCCTCTATCCAAACAACTCATGAAGGATATCGCGGCCAAGAAGAAACACTCCCGCTTCTTACCCATAGGTGAATGCACAGTTAAGGAAGGATTACTGTACTATCAGGGTCTACTATACATCCCTGACAACGCCGCTATCAAGTTGGAGATCCTCCGCACCCACCATGATGCACCTTCGGCCGGACACCCAGGACGGGCACGCACGCTGGAACTACTGTCCCGGAACTTCTACTGGCCCCAAATGCGGAAGTACGTTGCCCGTTATGTGGACCACTGCGATACCTGCTCCCGAATTAAGCCGGCCCGACACGCCCCGTATGGTCCCCTCAAACCACTGGCTCCCCCAGTCAAACCTTGGTCTTCGTTATCCATGGACCACGTTACAGGCCTACCCGAGTCCCAAGGATCTAACGCCATCTTAGTAGTGGTCGACCGGCTCACCAAAATGGCCCACTACATCCCCACGAGAGACACCGCCGACGCCCCGGAACTGGCCCGACTATTCCTACAACACATCTGGAAAGCACACGGGCTGCCGAAAGACATAGTATCAGACCGGGGCTCAACCTTTACCTCGCAGTTTTGGAAGTCACTCTGCGGCCAATTGGACATCAAACCCCGATTCAGCACAGCCTTTCACCCACAAACAGACGGACAGACTGAAAGGGTAAACGCCATTATGGAGCAATACTTACGGGGCTACGTCAACTACCAACAGGATAACTGGGCAGAGTTTCTTCCCCTGGCAGAATTCGCGCATAACAATGCCTCTACGGAACCGTTGGGAGTCAGCCCGTTCTTTGCCAACTATGGGTATAATTCTCAACTAGACGTCCTCCCTGCTGAAGAAACGCGCAAAGTCACACCGAAGGAGGTATTGGAATTTACGAACGCAATCTCCACCTTACAGGCTGCCCTGCGATCAGAGATCCTGTATGCACAAGCCGCCGCCGCCGAGAGTGCAAACGCCACCCGACTTCCAGAGCCCCGACTCGAAGTAGGAGATATGGTATGGCTATCGAGAAAACACATACGCACCACTAGGCCATCGGACAAACTAGATCACAAACGGCTAGGGAAGTTCAAAATACTCGAACGCATCGGATCACATGCCTACCGCTTGGAACTCCCCGCCTCGATGAAGTCCCACCCCGTATTCCACGTTTCGTTGCTAGAACCTGCTCGGACCCAACCTTTGCCAGGCCACATACAACCACCACCGCCCCCGGTAATCGTTGAAGGGGAGGAGGAGTTTGAAGTACAGGAAGTACTGGACTCCCGAATACGGCATCGGCAATTACAATACCTAGTCAAATGGACCGGCTACGAACAACCCACCTGGGAACCGGCTCGGAATCTCGATGCGGAATTAGGGGAACTGCAACGCTTCCGCTCCCTATATCCCAACAAGCCCACGGCAATCCTTAAGAGGACCTTGCGTAGGAAAGTATAGTTTGTTACGGTTTCTTTCGCAAATGAAACCGCTCTATGTTACGTTCCCTGGTGTCTCGCCCACAGCCATTTGCTAACTTGCTATGTACTTACTTTTACCTCGCCTCCCGCCTACTTGCTCGCAGGAGCTCGCTCTTCGAGAGGAGGGGCTAAACTGTTACGAACCACTACCGCAACACGGAGGAAGCATGAGTCATCGGAAAGTGCCGGAAGTTTCTGCGAAGGATTAGTAATCGGGTTGTTTCTTCTTTCTTATATATAGGGGTGCTTGCCCCCTCACCGTCTACTTCTTTCCTTACGCAACATCTTGTATTTTACTTTGAGTTATTAGTTTGGGGGATTTACTTCGCTTCAATACACTTCTTTACTCTCCGTCCACGTTACGTCTGCTGCCCATCATGCTCCTCGCATCCGCCGTTATGTTCCTCGTCGTCGCCCTCGTGGCCCTCTGCTCGCTTACCCCGCTGTTCCCCTCGGCCCCCTCGCCGACCGCTGTCTCCTCCGCCCTAGCGCGGACCATTGTCCCTGCCCTCGGGCACACCGCTGACTCCACCCTCGCCATCGTGCGAGCCTACGTTCTCCTTCCCAGGAGCCCCCTAGTGTCCTTCGACCCCCTTGCCAAGCCCTCACACACGGTTCCTTACATGTGCCCAGTAGAGGTTCCGGATCTCAAATAGGGAGGGGTGGTATTGTAGCACCAAGCACAGAAGGCGAAATAGTTGCAAAGCATCTTACTACGGTCGATTCTCATAGTCCTTTTAATATCTTCCTGATTCTGTGCATGTGGGTCCGCACATCAGAGGGCTCGCCCGCTATAATATAGGAATAACGTTTGTACGGGGGCTCTATAGCTACACTAAACCTGCCTTTTCACTTCTGTCTTTCACGGGGCCTAGGTGATATCAACATTCGCTGACAGAGTATTACCCGGTTCTTGATAGTGTGTGGGTGTTCCAACTTGAGTGGCAATAGGTTTTGGAAGGTCAAGACGCTTCTCTCGAGCTGAAGGTGGATTTTTGGCAATCACAATTCAAACCCTACGAAGACTTGGCCTGCATGGTATGAAGAATACTCGTAAAGGATAACCCTAAGGATTGGTATTCTAGATACCAAACGGCGTATTCTTCGGCAGAACATTAAAAAAAAAGTGATATGGGATACGCATCCTGTACCACCAGAGTCTTGGGAATGTAAATTTAGTGTTGACGACTCTTGGGTCGTTCGCTAAAGGACTCTAATCCCAGCTGAGGAATACATTCGAGATATATCTACAGTGGAGCTGCAAAGAAAAGTCTTCACGCAAACCAATTAAGTTAGAGATAACTCCTGGCTGGTGGTATGTAGTCGCAGGTTTGAATATGTGCACGTGGGCGCGGCCAGAATCTCTTTTGCACTTTGCACAATAATTCTGTTGTGCTTGCCGGAATAACCGAAGTGCTGATCTACCAAAGAAAAGAAATTCAGTGTATACTCTAGCTTTACTAACAGATCTTCCTATCAAGCAATAGATCTCCTACAAAACCCCTCTAATATCCCCCCCACTATACTGCAAAATCTCAGGAATAGCAAATCGGAGTGTGCTGAAATATTCGGTTTCGGATTGGTCAAATGCTCGGTGTGTTCCAGTCCACAGCTTGACCAATGGATAAGTGATATTCCCGCCCAGTCCGATTCGTTATTCGTGAGATTCTGCACTACCTTTGGACGGTGGATACCCAATGCAAGTATGCAGATAGCCCGTACGCCGATAGAAAGAGGTCCGACAAGCCTACGGCGATTGCGTAAAGAACAATAAACTATTATATAGTAAAAGACAGAAGAGTTGGTTGTTTAGAAGCCGAAGGCTTATCGCACGCCAACAGTGCAGGCTTTCAAGCGCTTTGGCAGGCACTCCCGCTGGCATCAAAGTAAATAACTAACCCTACTCTAAACAGCATGCGAACCCGACGTGGGGACCCGCAGATACCTCAATACATAGCGCAAAACCTTTTTGAAGAAGGAATTCCCATTCCTGAACTTAGCGAACCTCCTACACTGGAGGAATATTTTAATTAATCGCATCTTATAGCCTGAGAACTTTGTATAATTACATTCATAAGTTTTTACATCGTCTGGTCTATGTTGCAGGTGTTAACGATGAGCTCGTCCAGATTTGCACTCAGGTTCCTATCCTGCTCTGTCTTTTCCTGTATCGCAGCCCTAAACTCCTCTGCCTTCTCATGCAAACCCCCGATTACACCTTCCAATTCTTTCGCAAACTAGTTTTTTGGGCCCCTTGTTTTTTGTAGATGAGTCTGATTCGCTCTCGGTACCCTCTGTATCTATCAAGTATATTTTGCGTACCAAACCCTGTTGTGAGGCCTGCCGTACCTATCCCCCTTTGGCTTTCCTAGTAGCGAGCTTCTCTTTTGCTACCTGCCCCAGTAAATTATTGGGAGAAACAGAATCATTCAGCATTACAACGTCAATCATATTGCATAAATATTCATCCACTTCCTCGACAGCGCCGGTCTTTTGTTTTCCAAGTGATTCGTTCTGCTGGAAGGATTGTTAGTACCCGATAAATCTAAAGCAGAACAATTACCTATCCGATGTCATTTCACAAGCCTCTCCATTCTGTCTTTACAGGAAAGACAGGACCGATGCATTCCTACCCTCTTCAAATTGGCTCAAATCCGCTGCCACCTATCCGCTCTATAACCAGTCTTATTGATTATTGGATCATCCGCCAGCATCTGTTTAGCCAAAGCCCTGTCTTCCCATGCATCTCAGGTAGCACCTCGCTTCCTTTGGACCCCCAGACTCCTCAGCACTTCTTCATCTATTACTAGAGCCTCAACCCGTTAAGAAGCAGTAGAGGAGGAGCCCTCGCCAGTGACATTAATATTACTGTCACCACTCCCACCCAAAATATCTATCAAGTCCATCAGATCTCGGCGCGCAGCGTTTTGTTTCCCATTCCGTTTGACTGATTATTCCCTACTACATAGTTAGTAGATATAGATTTTGGTAAGAATAGGTAATACCAGTTCTACCTTGATGAATTTGGGATAGGTGGTGTTCTTTAATTGAACAACTAACTGGTCTTGCAGTGTTTCGTTACGATGTTTGTTCCTTTTTTTGTTTAACTGTTTGGGCCCTATTCAATAGTTAGTTTATGAAGATAGAGAGGGAATAGCTCATACCAGTTCTGTTTTGATGAATTTAGGATAGAAGGAGTTGTTGAACTGATTCTGATAAGTGGCGTTGGTTGTGAAAAGGGGCATTGGTTGTGAAAAATGAATGACATCACTAGCTTGCTCACCGGTCCCAAACGCGAAGTGAAAAGCACTTCCGGACCTCGAACCCTGTTTCTTGGCGCTTGGAGAGCCGGACCCCCCGAACGCAAAGTATCGTCTATACATATGTATCTTTGATCCGGTTAACGGGTTTCGCTGGCGGTTTTACTGGCGGAATGAGATCACTCGGCAAAAGGTACATTGACTAGGACAAGGTTTCCGCATGATTATCATATTGTCTCGCCTATCTGTCTACCTAATTCCAAGTAAATATTTGCTAGCTCGCTACCAAGTTCCGCGCCTGCCTCCGCGCGCTGCCTGCTTACCTCCGCCACTACATACTAATTAGGTGCTGGTTTGTTGCTGATTTGAGAATCAATTTGATGCTGATTTGGTGTCAGTTAGGAGTCTACAGCGGTCTTAGTACAGATGGCAAAATGCGGAGGTAGGTAAATACGTATCCAGGCGTCGATACGTAGCTCTAGTAGGTGTAGAAATATCAAAATGTAAAACTGATTAATGATATTTAACTTCAATTTGCCAGCCGTATCCTGTATAGAAGGTGCAAACCGTTATAGACTGAGGTGTAGAAGCAAACATAGACCAACATTTATTTCAACAAGTACCATAGACAAGAGCCAAAATAGTCGATAGTTCATTAGCATACACCAACACCCATAACAGATTACTTGATAGTTAGATTCAAAACAAGACGCAGCTGAATCTATTGTGCTCCTGACCCTGTCGCCTCTGTCGGACGCTGAGGTTGCTCCGCAAGATCCCTTCTTTTTCTGGACCACAGCATATCACATTCACCTGGTCTCAAAATATCACTCACATTCATAAGGTCATAGAGTATCACTCACAGTAGCCCTATACTATGGTGCGATTAGGCGTTGAATTAGGCGTTGAATGAGTCGTCGAATGAGTCGTCGAATTAGGTGCTCGATTTGGTACTGGCCGAGGTGCTTGATTTGTTGCTGACGGAGGTGCTGCTGCAGGTTCTGGCCGAGGTGCTGGTGGAGGCGCCAGTGGAGGTGCTACCAAGTCGAGTGTGGGTGCGAGACGGCGCTATAACTAATAGGGGGGCAGGGAGGCGGTACTAGCTCAGCGAGGCGTGAGAATCCACTGTGCATTCCGGGCAGCGATTTAGTTATAGCCTTCTTTAGCAAGTTCCTCATAGAGAGTTTTGCCAGATACCACAAAACAAGGATCTTGGGCGTTATCTCTCCCACAGCACTCGCCTACCCCTCTTTTCGCAATAATTCTACCGGTCAATCTAGGAGAAGGGGCCGTTTCTCGGGACACTAGTTTGGTGGTGAACATTGGTATGCGAACCTGGTAGGCACGAGCTCACTTCCACAGCGCTACATAGAATCGGCCGAAGTACAAATGGATAGACTACCTAGAATGTTTATCTTGTCACAACTTCAACACACAACTACATGTACTTACGGCAATGCCTCAGCATCAATCCCACGAAAGAGCAGCAGCTGCAAAAACGTCTCAAAATACAACACATGCCTCCTATTCTCCTCCGGAATAAACGTGAACTGTCTCTGCCTTGCATCCCAAAGCCTCAAGTACCGTCCCCTGTTGGAGTTCCTAAACTCTGCAGCATGGGCGGCCGGTAAGCCTGGCAGCGGCTCAGGCCGCAGCGACACCCTGTTGAGCAGCGCGACCATGTCGGCGGCGGCCTGCGTGAACACGCCACTTTCAGGTGCCCCGTAGGCGCGTGGGACGAGGCAATGCGCGATCGCTTTGAGCCCGTCGTCTAGTTCCTTGAGGGCGTGCATGCCGAGGGCCGCGACGTCGGTGGCGCGGACGAGGCCGAGGTAGATGCGGTGGCCTAGAGCGGGGGTGTCAGTTCAGTGACGAGATGGAAGGGCATCGGTGTGTAAATACTAACCTGCTGTATTTGGGCCGTGGACGGGGAGGGGTCTGCTATTGTAGTTGGAGTCTTTGTAGCGGAGTTAATTGGACTCCTTGAATTAACTAACCCAAGGGAGATAAAAGAGGGCATTTACAGTCTGGGTATGCTGGTGGGTAGGAAAGATCAGGAAGGTTAGGAGGAGGGCGTCCCTTCTCTATGTTAATATATGGGGAGGGTGGTTCGGCCTGGCGGTTTACTGAGCGCTGGAGCTCCGCGTTTTTGGCCTTTAGGAGCATGATCTGGCGGGCCTGGTCGACGATCAGGTCACGGAGCACATCGGGGTGGTTGGAATCCATTCGATCTTGGATCTGGGGTGCAGTGGTGCGTCTGTCAGGAGTTAGGGGAGACTTGCGGGGTTGTGCGTTGATGGCGTTGGTTAGGCGGGACCTATCTGTGGCTTGGCTTGGGACGTCTAGGAGGAGGGAGAGTTTCTCGTGACCCTGGGTTGGGGGTGAACATTACTTGTAACATCCAGGTTCATACTTGTACTTAGGCACGAGCTCACTTTCACAGCGAAATAATCCATCGCCCGAGGTACAATTAGATAGACTACATAAAATGTTCGACTATCCCGTCATAACTTCAACATACGTACTTACTGTATTGCCTCAATATCAATCCCACGAAACAGCAGCAGCTGTAGAAACGTGTCATAAAATGCCGTATGCCTCCTATTCTCCTCTGGGATAAATGAGTACACTGCCTGCCTTGCATCCTGGAATCTCCAGTACCTTTCCCCTGCTAGGGTTCCTAAACATAGCAGCATGGGTTGCCATCGGGCCATCAGCCAATCGAACTACAGCGACACCCTGTTGAGTAGCGCGGTCATGTCGTTGGTGGCTTGTGTGAACACACCCGATGAAGGCGCCGCGGCCGTGCGCGGCATGATGTGCCGCGCGATCGCTATGAGCTCGGTGCCCAGCACCTGGAGGGACAGCGGGTTGAGGTTCGCAACGTCGCCGTCAAGGGCAAGGCCGAGGTAGACATCGCGGCCTGCCCGAGAGAAGGGTGGTTATGGTCGTCAGTGACAAGATTAAAGAGAGTATGACTAATGACTACTACTACTAACTTTCTGTGTTTTGGCCGCGGACGAGGATTTGACAATTGTAGTTGCAGACTTTGCAGTGGACACCAATTTGAGTCCATGGGGTAGCTAGCGTTATAACCCACGGGGGAGAGAAAAAAGAGGGTGAGGGGGGGGGCGGGGAGGCTTACTTCCGGATGTGGCGGATGGGTTGGGGCCGTTAGGAGGTGGGAGGTCACTCAGAGGTGGTTATTCTTCTGCTTAAAGCTGGTATTGATATGTCTGCAGCGACTATCAATAAGCATACAGCTTTGCACACGGCAGCGACGCATGGTCGTAAGGATGTAGTTCAGTTTCTACTTGAGAAGGGGGCTGATGTCACAGCGGCCGACATTTACAATAATACACCTTTTGACCTGGCAGTGGCTGGTGGACATGAAGGAGTGATGGAGGTCCTCTCAGCGAGAATGGCTCTGACAGAGAAATAAAAACTGCCCGGGTAATCAATCCTGTTCCAACTTTCTTTTATATTTTATTTCGTCGTATATCGAAAAACATTTCCAGGCTGCCTCCTCCCCCCCTCCCCCCTTTGTTGTTATAGGAGAGGCAATGTGAATAGCGCAATCGTTTCCGAGGGTAGTAGTATTCTACTATAGATCATTTATCGTAAGACCTAGCACGATAACTCGATCGTGTTAGTGAAACTACCGAGCATATATCCATATTTCACTCCATATGGTAATCCACACCGTAGAGGTAAGCTACAGAGAATAAGTTGATAGTCTTCTCTTTTTCTTTAAATCCTTTTCAATTCATGTCTGGGTAAAAATGATAACATGCAGTAGAAACTATTCCCTAAGTTGCCGGCGACCGACATGTATGTGGGTCGCTGTCACAACACCCGCCACCTACCCGCCTTGATTACTAGTACAGCAACCGCCAATGGTTACTTATCGATTAAGTGATAAATGTGAACTCTAGAAGCTGAAAAGGTTTTCATAGGGTCAAAAAAAATTAAATGTGCTAGTAGTGGTGGTGATGCTGGTACTCCCTGGAGGGTGGTCGCACCCGCGGCGGCGGCAGTGGTCGTGGAGGTGGTAGTAGTGGAATATTATATTACTGCACATGGTGGGGTTAGTACTATTCGCAAAGGTTCCTGCTGTGCATGTAGCTGTCGTGATATATCGATAGTGGTGGCTATGGTTGTCGCAGTGTTGATGGTCGTAGTGGGGTAGTAGTGGTCGTGTGGTAGTGGTAGGTGTGGGAGGTAGTATCGGGGTGGTGGTGGTGGTGGTGGTGGTGGTGGTGACTTTCCCATGCCACGGAAGTCAAAAATCAACATTTTACTACATACCTACGGTATTGCGTACTTGTCGGTACTAGATAAATATCCGAGTGTAATCAGAATTTCAGTGCTCGAATAAGGTGCCGAATACCAGGTGCAAAAGATATGGGTGGGTTGGGACTGGGAGCGTAGTGAACCTGACTCTGATTTCAGGACGTATGTATGTATTATAATATTAGGAGCATCTGTAAAGGGTTTGGGGCGGGGGAGCTCCGTTACCGGGGGTGGTGGGGGTCAAAAAAGCTTGTTCAAAAAAATCAAAATCAAGCTTTCCCGTGTAGTCGCTACTCTCGGTTACGCAAGTAAGCTTATTCCAACATCATTTGGTGGCAGTGCTAGCACCATTTGGGTAGCAGATCTTACTCTCATTGGCCATATATACATCTTTTCGAAGTTTGACCTCACCCCACACCCCCCCCCCCCAATCACTTCTCGCGCCATAGATAGATATACTCGGGTGTAGTAGGAGTTGGAACCAAAGAATGCAGATACTCTATTTGTATGGCAAAGAGGCAAATAACCCCTGCTTTTGTCACTCGCATTTTCTGGTTCTTATTGCCATACCCGAGTAATGCAAGTAGATGCTGTGGTATGTATATACCCAACCTCTGGACGGATGAAACTCTTCCTTCTTTGAGTTAATAGTTGCCATATTTGGTAGAAAACATTAGTTCATAATTGGCGCTAGTTCTATGGCGGCAAGAAATCTACCTCACGAACAATAGGCGTGATTGATCCTTTAAGCCAGGATCTAAAGTGAAAGGTAGTAATCGTTTGAGTTTATTTTTTCGTGGTGCTTCAATTGACGCGGCTCAGTATATAGCGCAAGGATGAAGGGTAAACCCGGGTCGATAATTCTATGCTCGCAGTACTATCCACAACTACATCACGATGTATTCATACCATCATGTTTCATCGTGTGCATCTCATCTACGAACCACTATTTGAGCTTGGGCGAAGCTAAATCAACTTCAACTTCCTGGATCATTAACAGATGTATATTTAATATCTCACGAGGAATAAATGATCAACGAAAGATAATCGCAGAGGGCATTAGTGATTACGAAGATAGAAGCACCAAGCTCGGCCTTCTCAAGATCTTTGATAGTGCCAAAGCTTCGAAAGGGCTTAGAGTGTAGAGAAAAAGGTGGAAAAGTAAGAAGGAAGTCGGGAAAAAAGGGAAGGGGAGGGAGGAGAGAGGAGGAAGAGAAGAAAAAAGAGATACAGGTGCACACAGGTGGGCAGGATAAGCCCTCAGCCCTTGTTAAAAGAGGGCCCTCCATATCCCTTTCACCTTTCGGTGTACTTCCCCCTCCCACGACGTCCCGAGAAAACGGGCCTTACATCATTGACATACCTCGCTCCCATGATAATTGGCAACGCAAAACTTACCACCATCCTGCTTCTCAACGGAGTCCTACAAGAAACTAAAGACTACTAGTACGGACATCAATTGATGACCAAAGCCTACAGATGTCATGGGTATTTTGTATACATATGCAGTAAATATGGCAGCACCTTATCACTCAATAACGTCTATATATATACTTATCAAAAACATACTCATTCATGTCGTTCCTTATTAATTCCAACTATCCCACAAAAGAAACTCAAGATGTTACATCATTAAAGTTCTCCCAGAGCCGGTCGTTCGCCCCACTATCTGCTCCTGACACTTGATTGGAATCGGGTTATACCCACTGAACATGCACTCCGGATCCCACTTCCTCTTCAGATCCTTTAGCCTCTCCTGTCGCCACTCCTCACGTCCATACATCGCGCCAAAGCCCTCCGTCCCCTGTGCATAGTTCATATACACCGCCGGCCTGTCGAACCCGCTGTCGGCGTGAAGGATCGCCATCACCTCGAACAACCAGTCCGCCGCCTGCGCGTCCAATTTCTTGTCCTCGTACACCACATTCAAAACGCTATTTCCCTCACATCAGCTCTGCTTCGCACTACTCAACACCTCGGGGAAAGAAAGGGGGGGGGGGGGAACATACACAACGCTAATCTCCTCCCTCTATGGATATGCCGTATTCTCGGCCGGAACCTCTCGCACGCCCTTCACCGAGTACGACTCAAACAGGATAATCGTCGTTCCGGTCTCTGGGAGCCTCATGAACTCCTTAAACTTCTCGAACGCATGCTGGATGCTGGGGATGTCCCAGGTCTTTGCCGACACGCCGCTGGCAACTTTGCGCGCGCGGCTGGCACACGCGCCACTGGTGAGGATTTCATCGTTGACCTTTGCCTAGGGGAGCATTTGGGAGGTGCGGCGGAGGTAGGGGATGTGCCCGAAGACGTATTCGAGCTCGGCGCTGGCGGCGGCCTCGGGAATAGAGGAGATGAAGTTGAGCCAAATTACAGGCTTCACACACACACACATACCCAGAATACTTGCAGGAGGTGTTTCATGCATTGAACGACTATGATGTACCCGCGGAGATCAATGCAATGCTGACGTTCATTTTAGATCTAGAGATCAAGAAGGTGTGTATTATCCTATATCCCTATCCCGAGTTGCCTATGCTTTGTGTATATGGGTTTGAGCAGGACTAACGGTGTGTCGAAGTAAACATCCGCCTTATACTGCATGCCCTCGTTAGCAGCGTCATAGATGCGGTACGTCGCCTCCGTAACAATTCCGAAGTTGTGACCGGCACCGCGCAACCTCCAGAACACCTCTGGGTACAATTTTTCAGAAACGCTGATGGTCTCGCCGGTAGTAGTCGTGAGCTATACTGAGAGGTTATCTAGCATGAGCCCGTAACGGCCCTAGCTGAGTCCAAGCCCGCCGCCGAGGGTAGCGCCGACGAAGCCAACACAGTTGCAGATTCCTGCTGCTATATATATGGTACTCCTTGTCAGCGGGGTGTCAATACAGGGAGCGAGCTAGGAGGGGCACGAACAGGTTTCTTTGCCGGCAGCCTGCAAGGCGGACATGATGGAGCCGACGTTAACCACCGCCGATGGTGATGGTGTTGGCGGTAGAGTCGATGGCGATTCCAGTGAGTGGGGAAATGTCGATCATGATTGCGCCCTTGATGCGGTTGAGGGTCTGGGACCGGCCATGGCGGCGATTACCAGCGAGGACTGGGTGACCAGTTGCGAGTGCGTATTTAATCTGCTCAGTCCGTACTATTAGCTAGCTTCTACCTTCAGACTAATCGTGGGCATATATATATACTAAATATCCAATATTCATGCAATCTCACCGACATCCTCCCCCGTCCCAACACCAATAAACGCAGTCAGGCCAGGGTGCACATTAGTCGCATAGCGTGATGTGAGTTCGTCAAAGTGAGTGCTCTCGTCACCCTTGAGGGCGATAATAGCATTTGAGGAGAGACGCGGGGCCAAGTCTATCTTGATTTCCGTTGTGCGCATGCAGTCCTTGCATTCTGGGAGCTTGGAAGCGGCATTACTGGTATCAGTGATGAAGCGGAGGGCGACGAGAGTGAAGGATGAGAAGCATCGCATTGTAAGCGTTGGTGATAGGAATGGGTAATAGGGAGAAGATAATTAATAGAGGAGGGTCATTGGGATGGTATATATATAATGGTAGCAAAAGATTAGCTGGCCAGTGTGGTATGAAGGCCGTCCGCGACTTGTTTTTCCGATCAAGACTTGAGACACACATGAAGAGAGTACCTACGTGGATCGTCTTATCGTGCCTCGGGCAACTTCTTTTTCGGCATGATTTATATTGTGATGATGATGATGTTCATTTTTCATATCTATTAGCATGAGGGATTATCGAGGAATTGGCTAGATCAGAATTACCTGCATGGGAAACTTCTGATGTAGATCGATGCCATCCAACCAATAATTCTAGCGGTAGTTCCCGGGTTTTGGCGGTACCCCGCATTCCTTAGACGCAGATCCGCATAACTTCATTTGGCGATATCGATCATTAACTGGCTATCCCTTGAGAGCCCCTCATACAGTCCTCAATCTGCGTGTCGTGGCAGCCAAATATATGTAGGTACATGTAGGTATTTGTATTTTAGGTACTCTAGGGCCGAGCTAAGGAAGGGTCCTAGGATCTTTTTAGCCAAGACTTGTAACGGGGAGCACAAGCAGAGCCCCTTGAATAGACTAGGGCAAGCAAAGGCTTCCACACCATACTTTCTACCCACTCAAATCATCAATTTTTCGTTGTGGCCCAACTGTATACTTAACTTCTGCTCCACACATTCGACTTGGTTTTAGGAATTTACGGTCCTTGGTGCTTATGCTGTTGATATTAACAAATTGACACCTTTTAGGCGGTTATTTACCTTACATGGTAAGGTTGCTAACCACATGCAGCAATTTACAGTCCTTGCAATTGGCAAATCCATTTATCAAAGCTCAACCCAATTCTTGGCAAGTTCAATTGACTCCGATGTCTAAGACTACAATCGCCCGGCTGCACGGCGTAGTTGTTGCCCCCTGGTCCTCCTCGTCTGTTACTAAATGCTGCAAAACTATGAGACAGCAGATCTAGTATAAAGGTTGGCAAAAGATAATCAGTGCATCAGTTATATATATAAGGCACATCAGAGTTATATACTTGACAGAGTTTGGCAGCTTTAACATACGAAGAGATAACTCAGCCACCTCTGATCAAAATTCCAAGACAATTGAGACTTTGCGCAAGTGGAGTCAGCTCCATATTCTGATTATCTGGTTGGCTGGTGCCGTGATCGGCACCAATCAGGTTTTCGGAAAATGGAGCTGGATCGTGACAAAACCCCAATCCAATTGCTCACCACGTTTCTTGGACGATTGAGCGGCCTTACTAAATATATTACTCATTAACAAATGCCACCTTTGATCATAGGAGGAGTCTACAGTCCACTATAGTACTATGGTCTTGGTTTCTGGGCCTTGTGAGCGGCACAATAAAGTCAATGTGGTGCCAGAGTTTACTATTATAACGCCTAGCAAGCTCGTATTGTTCCATTCAGCCCTTTCAATACGCTGCTTAATTTATCACTTGTCCAGATCAAACACGGTCAGAAATCTCTCTGTACTTTTGACATTTAGAATTGAGGTACATTTTATAAACAACCTTCCACCATGTTAAATCACCCCCCCCCCCCCACAGCCCTAACCCCCAGTCCCTCCTCCCTAAGAATCCCAAGAGATCCTACTAGGACCTGCCCTTTTTCCTTTACGCTTCTTACTGGCCGCTGTAGTCGACTTCGCCGCTGGCTTTGGCTCTGTCTTCTTCGCACTAGCCTTCTTACTAGCTGCCGTAGCATCGGTGCCCTTACCGGCCGCCCCCTTCTGCCCGATCTTTCCCGGTCCTGCCGCGGCTTGACCCTTGGTTGTCCCTCCCTTCCCATCCTTCGCCTTGCCTTTAGCTCCAGGAAGTGGACATGACGACGTCGACTTCACACCCGCCCTCTTCATCTTACTAATACCACATGCCGGCCCTGGAACTTCAAAGATATCAGCAGGCGTTTCTGCCTCATTTACCCCGTCCATCCCCCAGTGACCATAACCAGGCTCCCAGATGACCCTCTGGTTCGCTAGGTTTATTGCATCTATCGCCACAATCCTCGTGACCTTACTGCCGCTTTTTGTGAGTTCTGGCAGCTCCGTCTGGAAGAAGACCGACTGCTTGTACCTGAAGCCTTCACGCGGCCTTCCTATAAGATATACGACCTCCCCCGACGCGCCGGCTGCGAACCACCTGCTCATAGCTGCCCAGTATGCATAATCCTGCTCCCACTCTTTGGGCGGCCCGCCGATATCCATTATCAGGTCCATAATCAATTTCTTGCCGCCGCTGGTTGGTATGTACTGCTTTTTCAGGTATTGATTCATATCATCGAATCCGGCCGGGGGACTCTGAGACCAGAATATGGCCTTGTCTTTAGGTGTCACAAGCTTAGCAGCCTTGGTGAGGGCGTATACACTGATTTCCTTCGAGATTGGGATCGGCGTGTAATCGCGGGTGGCGCCAACGAGGACCGCCAACGCGAAGAGGAGCAGAATTAAGTTGAAGGGACGCATTGTATAATGTTTGCTCAATGGACGTATTATGACGAAATCGGGCAAAGGAAACCGGCCTTTGTGGAAAAATAGGTTAAGGTGAAGAAAGGAGTATTGTTGTTTTGTTTAATTGGAGAAAGGAGTGTTGTTGTATGTTGGTTTAATTGAAGAAAGGAGTGTTGTTGTATGTTGGTTTAATTGAAGAAAGGAGCGAAAGTCAATGAACAGCCAGTGTTATTGATGATGAAATGAGTGTAAGGGAATTCCGGATTCTTGGGCCTGGTTTGTGCATTATTTGGGCAAGAGGTCGATAGTTTTATATCCTCATCTTCCTGAGCTTACTATCCAACAGGACAAGCTGTTTCTACTAGGTTTCTCAGCTGGCAATTCCGGTATAATGTCCCCTCCGCAAAAGGAACATGGCTGATGTTTGAATGCTCTCAGCTGCTCTACCTCCGGTACACGCGGGCTTTTTGCAGATATCATTCAGGTAATCGGGATTTTTCACATATTTTCACCTGTCCCCTACGCTCGGCGTTAGCCCCATTTCACATCACTACGGCGCAAAGGGCGGGCCTTCTCCAAAGGTTCAGGAGTTGCCGAGTGATATTCCATGATTCGGGATATATATCCAAAAATGGCATTGATTTTGTGTCTACCCTCATACCTGTAGACGGCAGTCACACCACCACTATAGTGTTATCTTCGTCACCTATGGTACAGTAATCCCATTGACCTATTCTTCCCACAACATCACCAAGGCCAGGACCAGATAGGCGGTCATAGCCCGTAGCCAATAATCCCACCGTGATGTTGCATGTATGTCAGAAATTTTATCATACAATATATACTTTGACAGCCGATCACTCTTAAGATATTGCAGATAGCTCAAAAGGCTTACTGCCTGGTTTAAGTCGGTGGGAACTTTGAGATTAGTTAAAATCGGGCGTAATATTGGGCCCCAATGGTGGATATTATTTTCTCTGTCAACCGGGAGAGCTGGAAGAGGGGGGGGGGGGGTTAATTAACAGGCGATGAACGATCGCTCTACCAGGAAATGCGCAGGAAGCAAGGCTTAGAATCGGTTAGTATAGTGGGTACAGCCCAGAGTGTCCCAGAACAATACATGTACTCAGACACATACCAGTAAGATGACAAAGATGCCTACGATCGTACGAGAGAGCTATAAACTTTGGCTGCATAGTCTATAGTATAGTCGGCGATGTCAATTAATTTACCAGGGTTAGGGTTTGTTGTTTGTGGGGGGGGGGGGGTTACTAGTGTAGATACGGATACGTCCAAGCGAGCGCGGGCTTGAGCAAATGCGGGTACATGTAAACACATGTGCTGTGCTATCTTAGGGACCCCCGGTCAGGATCAGCCGCAAAGCTTAATTACTGCCCTTGCATACCTACATGTACGCAGGGACATCCCCGTCGTTACTCGTTCTGACTAAGGCAGGTCATCTTCCCGGATTTCTTAGGGATATTTGCTATCCCATACAAGATTTGGCTGTTTTCCAATTGTGGGGCAATGTCTGTCTCGCGCCTAGACTTTTATAGGTACGTGCGCTTGGTATAGGTTCGTATGTGTATACCTCATGCTCACGAGTGCTCGCACTTCCTTTATGATGGAAATATGTACTCACCCGATTATTGCCCAATTAGAAAAAGTCTGGGCACGAGACAGGGGCAATGTATGTACTATTTCGAGATACTAAAGGTTCTCACCATTTAATTATATCATGCTTCAGCTCTTCTATTTAAACAGAGAAAAGGTCGGTCTGGTATTCACGTGTTGTATGTCGTATACCGGGGGTACCAACATTCCCCACAACTAAGTAAGATCATCCATCTAATCTGTAAGACAGCTTACATCGGACCGATCGATCTGACTGTTCAGAATGATCAAAATCTAATCGCTATGCATGTGCAGCCAGCTCTCTGAGTATCTCATCATCCCCCTTTGTAAAAACCCGGTCAAACGGCTTTGGTTACGTGAAGCAGGGCCTGGCAATGTAATCTTAGCTCTGCCTAGGTTTGGTTGTATGCAGCCGCTCAAGTGCCTACCGTGCATTCCAATCACCTACCTAGGTATCGAGTGCTATGTTTACAGGAAATTAATATCGTCGATGCCAATCCATCAAGCCTATGAATATTGACGATTGGAATATCGGCCACGGTCATCGGAGTGCTGAGTCCCAATCTGCATTTCTCACCTCGCTAATATATAGAGTAGATGCATGATGTCTAATCGTGGTTCTACGCCTTATGAACATTGCTGCATTTCCTCTTTTCTCCGAGCTTGGCTATCGGTGGAAAGGAAGTATGTATAAGGAGAAAAGAGTATATTTCTTATATATTTATACGCGCCTTCATACCCATACCCTCTCCTATATGTATATGAAAAACACTTAATACAAACATAAACCTCGCACCGACGCGAGCGCACAGTCCCTTGGTCACCACCATAATCGGTATCATAACAATAATGGCTTCATCCTCCTCCCGCGCTCCAACGCCAGAACACAAAACGCTGCTCTCCCTTCCCCCCGAAATCCTCATATCATGCCTTCTTCTTCCGTCTCGACAGTACGGGTACGACCTTAAGCCCCCCCTCCCTCCCAAGAGTGTCCTTCTCGTCTCCCGCTATATGTACAGGATCGCCGCACCGTACCTTTACGCGCACCTCTGGGTCGAGCCCTATGAAACCGCTCTCGGACAGTCGCCACTTTTACCCTTTCTCACAGCGAGGCAGCGCTCAGCCCTCGCCCTTCCTTCATGGCCGCGCATGGCCGATCCTGCATGGGTGCACGAGCTCACGATCCTGCCGGGCGGGCCGCCTGAGCATGGGGGGCATGATTCAGAGCTGTGTCGGGTGCTTAGTCTGGTTCTACCCACGATGAAGCTGCGCTCAATTCACTGGGAGGGGAGGCAGAACGATGAGAGTGTGGCGCGTGTAGTGGCACAGCAGAAGGAGCTTGAAAAGATTTGCTGCAGGGTGGGGGGTCCTTTATGGCACAGCGGGCTGAAGGGTCTGAAGGAAATTGTGTCTTGGCATGATGAAATGTTCCCCTACGATCAGGAAGACACCAACACCAGGACTGGACTGCTACAGGAGTCTGCAGATACCGTGCAGACATTACATCTGGCTGTTGGATATGTATTCGATGGCATCGCCGATATGGCTCGTCGGATTCTCAAAGGGGTGGAGACGATGCCAAAAGTGAGGGTCCTACGCCTGACAGGGTTCAATAAGGAAGCAGTGGCGGCCATTGAGAGGGTTATAGCTTTTGAGTCAGTTGAAGAGTTCCAGATTATGCGCGGGGTAGGGCTGGATGTCCTGAGGGGCAAAGATCTATCCAGTGCGCATAGTCTTTCCGGTAATGCGACAACACGAGGATTGTTTGAGATTTTGAATGGGTGCGAGACGCTCCGCCTTCGAGACCTGCGGGTGAAGTTTGTTGACTACCACTGGCCATGGGAGGGCCCCTCCGCTGACCATCAGCCACCGCCGCCGTCGAACATTGCCATAATAGAGGCGCTTGGTCGGCATGGGGCTGCGCTGAATACGCTTATCCTCGGACATAATATTTGGGATACGCAACCGACGAAAGTTGTCGCGCTGCGGGAAAAAGAGGTGAAGCGGTTGGTTGAATCTTGCCCATGCCTCGAGGAGCTGTCTATTACGGTGGAACTTGGAGAATTTGTAAGTACATAATCCTTCCGATTATGGAGTTTCAAAGGGAGGAGGAAAAAAAAAGTAAAAAAATAAAATTAACGCCCGCCTAAACAGATCATAATCTCGCCATTCTTGGCTAAACTTCCCCGCCTATCCCACCTGGCCCTGAACATTGTTCATGATAGCCCCGCCGCCGATCACCACTCCAGTAGCCCCCCATATCATCTCCCACCAAGCACTATGCCGCCGTGGCCCGTTGATAAGCACTGGCTTTACCCAGGGAACAGTGGCTGGGACCCTGTCCGGCCTACCGCTGTTACGCCGCTCGAAGTGGTTATCTCACACCTCCTTGCTGCAGGACCCCCTAGGATACAATCCGTTTATCTTGACATCACCAACACCAATCCAGAATCTCCGCTCCACCATAACCTTCGGAACCGATATGAGATGCGTCCTGGTACCCCCGAGGACAGGAGACCTCGGGGCCCCGGGGACTTCTTACACGCGCCTCCAGGGCAGAGATATGCGTGGAGCGGCGGAGAGTTTGTGGTGGTATCCTGGGATCGATTCAGGGTTAGGGAAAGTCAGAAGTCTTTCGTATCCGCTTCGTGGTGGACCTCATCTTTTGAGGGGCAGCAGATGACGGTTTAGCGGATATGCGGCTCGAAGCCCCCACAAAGCAGGATCTTTGGGGGTTCTTTTAGTATACATAGTTCTTACAATCTCTGTAGTTTCAATAAATCTCGCCGCTATAATAACAAGTCCTTGCTTGTGTGAAAGTCACGACTGGATGAGTGATGACCATATGCTGCACATGTAATTATATCAGAACCCGGTAACGAAGAACTGACTTGGTCTCCAACAGGTGCCATACCCCAAGCGTGAGTCCTTTGTCAAATCTCCCGAAGCACACCTTCTTAGGCTTCGACAGAGTGGTTCTCTCCACAACCTCAAATATAAAGCTAGAAACCGTAGTTACTAGATATTAAACGTTGTAGACTCCCTGCCCCTATATTTGTGGAAAAACCAGTCAATATCTCAGGTCAGGACGTTTAAACTCAGCGATGATGGCCCACTACAATAAAGAGAATTTTTATCGCAATTGCGTTTAATTAGGTCGAGGATTCTTTACATATCTGGTGGTATATACGCCTCCCATGGAGCTGACAACGCATATGAATGTGAGGAGTATAACTAATTGTATTTAGGAAAGCATTGTGTAAAGTGTGCATCGAACTATGTGTTGAATATCTCATTCCTGATGATGTCAGCGTGTCTGTTCGGTTTCATGATGGAGAATAAGCTCGTGACTAGGACGAAGCTTAGAGAGCGGGTGAGCGAGAGGGGCGAAAGGAAGGAGGCCACAGTCAATGATCATTGGGATAACCTGTCCTCGAGAATTTTTCTGGGCAAAACTTTTCGTTTAAGATTTACTTGCTTCCAATTAGATTCTCGTCATTGCTAGATTCAGCACATATATTGAATTATTAGGACTTGAGCTTTGGATAATTAGGCTTGAACTTATTCCGCTTACGAGGAGTTAGGCTTGAGATGAATATTCGAGTTTGTTCAGCTCGTTAACATTCCTATCCATATGCTCCTGCACTGAGAGGATCTTTACAACCGACGTACGATGGAGCCTTGTGTCAATCTGACTCAAAAAAAAAAAAAAAAAAAAAAAAAACAAGTAGATGAGGGCGCACTGAAAACGGACTGATTACATGGATCACTACTAACTAGTGAATACTACTACAGGTCTAGATCCCCACTCAATATTCGCATCGATCATTGGAACAAAAGTAAAAATAAAACAGAAGTTTTTTAAAAAAAAAAAGATCGTTGAAGTAGATCAAATGAATACGAGAACGACACAAGGAGAAACCCTGATTTCGCTAAGTCACAAGGTCACATACATGCAACTACAGTTCGATAGTGTCTAAGGCAAAGCAGAATTTTAACGATGGTTTATTTAGGGTCTTAATTCCCGGGTTGCGTACACGGCATGTAAAGTGTTTAAAACTCAAATTCAGACCAGAGTTGTATTATTTCCACATCGAATTCACGTGTCTGGTTCTGACACCTGCTAAGCGTGCTGCAGTCTAAGCCCTAGAAAGCAGAGCTCTTGATCGTTTTAGAGCACATAGAAAGAGTAGACGTACCAGGACATTCCTTAGCTATACTCAGCCCCAACGCTAGGCAGCATATGCTGTTTCTTTGAGAACTTTATCGTTGAGTGTAGCTACGTAGATTTGTAGAGAGAAAAGAATGCTAAGCCGCATGAATATGTGGCCTCTCTCATCCATGACATAATTCGATCATGGATGTCCTCACTTTAAACCCCAAATACCACTGCAACCCGCTTCCACGCCAGCAGCGAGAACGACCCCGAAGACCGATCCCTATGCGGATGTCGATCGATACGACCTGAGATGAGTGAACAATTTCACTCACTTTTGTGAGAAATTCAATGGGGGCTCTCAAAGCAAATTTTAAGCTCCAAAAATAATCTAGCACATCACGCTATGATCAGTATGAGCGCCCGGAATGCTGTGTAGAATTCCTCATATGGTAAGAATGACTGTGATTATCAGGTAGAGAATATGGTGTAAGAGCGACTAGCCGATCTAGATGGATATGGAAACTTTAATTAGTGGGGCTGAAGATGTCGAGGGGCATTTTGTGGGGTCTGCTAGAAACAGTGGCACAGGCATGCACTATTCAGTTATGTCCCGTGTTTTGGTGCTTACTCTATTACCTTCATCCAGCCAATAATGTGAGGGCTAGGCGCATCCTACCCTGTAAAAATCGTTCCCCTAGCCCTGGTGTAGCAACCTCATCAGGGTAATACAAGACATTCTGACCTTACATACTTCTCGCGGTTTCGCCCTGTGTAACCTTTTTACACTTTTAGACTAAGCCCTAAAGTAAACCAGCTGAAAATGGAATAAGCATGAGAGCGTTATTTATAACGAGATTCTAGTAGAGTAGGGGCTTGGGCTTACACAAAGTACCACAAACCTAATGTTGGTTCACTTAGTTCTTGTCCATCCAATCGTGAAGGATCGCGATGAACATGGGGCTTGTTCCTGGGGCTGCAGGGTCGCTAAGGCAACTAGGTAGCTTGGATTGGATGATTGAGCACGTTGAGCACCCGAGACCAATGATCATTATCCCGCAAAGATCTCATGCTCAGCAAAGACTTACCATCAGAGAGGCTTCAAGAATATGATAAATACTCCTCAACTATCCCCAACTAAATGTACTTTCTTCTTCATCCACTCAGGAACACAGGAAGACTACTACAATTTCAGACTTCTTTTAGTATCTTAATTTCCCCCTTCAACTTCTTCTACATTACTTCCTACTTCACCACTCTAATCAAGATGAAGACTGCTATTTTCACTTCCGTTCTCTGCCTCTTCTCCAGCTTGGTCTCCTCTGTTGCAATCCCTTCTGCTGAGGCCGCTGCGATTGAAACTCGTTCAATTGCTACTATCTCTCCGTCTTTGTCGGTCCCAATCTACCAAGATTCTCCCGACTACGCTGGTGGAGCTCAGTCCTACGCCTTTGTCTCTAGGGTTCGTTGAGCCTTTTGGATCCTTATCCTGGATTCTTTAACTGTATCAAGTTAGATTAAATTGCAACTAACTCCCAATAGTATAACGGAGCGCACGATATCAATACTCTTATATCTTATTACTTCCCCGATGGATACGCCGGCAAGAAATGCAGCTTCTCTTTCTCAGCCGTCCAAGGGTTAGATGGCAGCAAGAAAGTTCAACTCTTCACGGTCGGTGGGCGGGATATCACTCCAAATGATACCTTCAACTACCGTCCTCACCGTGACGCTTGGCTTGGCATCTTCAACGCCGGCACTGGAGTTTTTGATGGAGCTATTCCTACTTTCGCTTGCCCCACCTCCGCGACTACTTTGAACTATGAAGTTGTCCCACAGAACGACAAGTAAGCCTACGCATTTCTTGATTTCATCACGACTTGACTGACTTTTTATTAGTGATTACGTTTGGTGGTATATCTGGGCGGGTGGATTGGTTATTAATGTCGAGTAAGAATCTAAACATTCAGTTTATTTCGCATTAACTTCGATTTTCTTTTGTTCGCTAGATTTAGGTGGTCGGGGTCTTGGGGTAGCATGGTGTCTGTTGGGAAACCTTCCTTAATTAATACATTCCTTTGGTAGCTTTATTTTAGTATCTATTTCAGCTGTATGGCAATAAATTTATAAACCCTAAAGTGAGGTTCAGTTCCAAGTGACTAGTGAATACGAACCTACATACAACCAATTTCTTATAGCAGTAATTGATATGCATCCAAGATCATAGCTATCTAGTTATAGTTAAACTCACCGAGAATTTTATCAAGTGGTATTTATGATGAGGTTGATCCCTTGACTAGCATAGGCTTAGCGACAATGATGTAGAGGTTTCATATTTCTTCAAACCGTAGCCCTTACCTGCATATAGACACCTGGCCCCACGCGATATTGAGACCCCTCCGTCCCTTTGCCAACCGACGACATCGTGACGGCTAAAGACGTAAATCTCGTCTTTTTGTGTCTTATGTCGCCTAACGTCGTCTCCGCGCTAGGATCTTTAACGGGTTTCGCTACCATTTTTTTACTGGCAGAATGAGATTACACGGTAAAAGGTACATTGACTAGGATATGTATTGTGGTTTTCGTATATTCGCCTATCTGTCTACCTAATTCTATGTACATATTTGCTAGCGCCCCACCTACCACCCCGCCTGACTGCCTACTGCCTACATGCCAATTAGGAGCTGGTTTGACGTCAATTTGGTGCACCCTCTGTCATCGATTTGGGCGTCGATTTGGTGCTGTTTAGGAGTCTGTAGCGGTGTCAGTACAGGCGTCAAAATACAGAGGTAGGTAAATGCGTATCCAGGCGTTGATGCAGGTAGGAGGTAGGCAGCAGGCAGGAAGGTAGGCAGGTACATGTAGGTAAACAGGTGTGGATCCTCACTTGCTATCGAGGTTAGGACTAGTGCCAGGACTTTGGCAGAATACACATATTGACGACGATATGTCACATTTTAGATGCTTACATATAGGCGCCAAAAGACGATGTGTCATATTTAGTAGCAGCGGGGCGAAGCTTTAGAAGCCATAGACGAGGTTTGGGCGTGGAAGAGTGGCGGAACCCGAACATGAGACATCAATGGGTTTCCGATATCAACCTCGTAACCGCTATCGCCCGGGGCGCGGGGAAGCGGGGTGCTCTCGACCTATAGAATGCAACTCGCCAGTGGAGTTTGATATATATGCAGATGAAAGTCTTGGGTTAGTCCCAGGCGTGGCCCAGTATAAATGGAGAGACCCGCAATGGTTCACAGCCCCCAGAGATTACGTAACGAGTGATATCTGATGAAGGTACTCCTCGGTGATGACGGGCTGTGACCTGACCCCTAGTCAGCAGTATATAGATGTAGCCCAGAGCTTTTGAACGCCCACTTGGGCTTTCTTTGGTAGCGGCTTCCTCTGGCCGTCTCCGGCGGTGAACAGCAGTCAGTGGCATGGAACCTGCCTTGCGGAGAGTAAACGTTATTTTTTTTTGTCTAATTCATTAAGCGGAGAGTAAACGTCGTGGTGCGGAGATATTTTAATTGATCAAGACTATATAGATTACTAAGATTATAGCTTAGCCCCACGGCTCTGATCAGTGAACCCCATTTTAAACTAATCCTAAGGCCCTCAAATAAGGCTTAGTCTCCCATAAGATGTAGACACTTCAAACCGATAAGTTGTTACAAAGAAATCCTGATAAAACAATATCCCACCTGCACACATACCCCGAAACTATCTCTCAAACCCTTGCTAAAGCTGCAACAAAACCAGCTCGAATCCGCAGCTATCAGACATATAATTCCAGCCCTCAACAAGCTATGGGATGGTTCCAATCTTCACCTGGTATAAACCCTGCACCATGGCCCTTCAATATCTGGATGACCTCTCTATCTCCATGCCGTAGAGGAGATACAAAGCAATCTGCATCCAAGGTATCAGGCTTTGCTCCGCTTTTTAGAAGTATCTTGATTGCACCTTTCTGTCTTTTGATAACCGCGGCGTACAGAGCGTTGCGGTATCTACTACCCTGAGCATTAACGCCGGCCCCCATTTTGATAAGACGTTCTATCATCGATTTCCACTCTCTGACAGCAGCAGCTTAGAGGGCATTACCGTACCTTCCTCCTTGGATCCCTATGGTACAAACTTTCTTAGGGATTGGGATGTGATATCCCGAAAATCGGGATAGGTTATCCTGTGGGAGGATAACTTTGAGACATTTGGGCGTTTTGGGTGTCAATGATAGCTAAAGAAGGAGATTTTGCTCTAATTATCCCCGCCAAAAGATATATGACTCAGTTTATCTTTAGGTAAAGATACAGGTTTCAGGTTATCTTTACCTAAAGATACAGGTTTCAGGATAGGTTATCTTTTCCCGTGGATATATATCCTTTCCTACGGATATAATCTAATATCCCATCATAAGGATACGGACTTTTACATAGAATAAAGTGTTCTCCTGCTGGTAGTATTTCGCATCCCTAGCAATTTTGGACTTAGACAAATTCGGTTTTTTTTTTGGCTGTCGAATTTTTAAACCTAAGCTTGATAGTGGTAATTTGTACTAGGTCTGTATCTGAACCACTGGCATAGTTGGTAGCATCCACTAGATACAATCGCCAATCTGCAAGTTCGATTCCCCTAATCTACATTTTTTAAATTTAAGTTCTTGATGGTATCCCCTACGAAGGGTAGGATATCCCCTACCAGTCAGAACATGCCCACCTCCATGAAATATCTCTCCTTAACTGGGGATATCTTATCATATCCCGGTGAAAAAGGATAACTTATCCAGCAAATCGAAGGGTCGTACCCAATAGTTAAGATACCATATCCCTCCTAAAGGGATTGCTTATACACCTAGAGCAGGATATCTTATCCCACCCCGGAGATGGTATTTGCCCCAAAACAGTATCCTGCCTCCGGGGATGAGCTATCCAGTACTTTGTCCTCTAGGGGGATATGGACGCTGGCACCGCTTTCTAGAAGAATATCGACCTGACGTCGACATTCATAAAGAATAGCGGCTTGTAGAGCACTGCCATATATCCCACCTTTGGCATTAATATTGATACCTTTGTCGAGTAGATATTCAATTGATGGTGTACGAGGTAGCTCCGCTAGCGGCAAGGGCCTGCAGAATAGAATAGTACTGCTCACATAGTAAGGAGATATCATCTCCCGCCGTGATGAGGCAATCCACTCCCTTCTCATTTCCTACGGCTAGCAAGACACTGAAAGCGCTAACGCACATCGCGCCACAGGCGTTTACATCTGCGCCGTGCTCTGGCAAAGTATCTATTATCTCGATTGTGTTCGAACTATCGCCGCCCGCCATCGAGACATAGAGAGGACTGCCGTATTTCTCTCCTCGCGAGTTCACATTCGCCCCATGGTCCACAAGCAATCGAGCAGTATCCACAGGAGGGCCCACCATATAACTGCCGTCGTACCATTCAGCAAAAACGGCAGCCTGGAGAGCGCTCCCGTACAAGCCGTCTCCCCCGTTAGCGTCAGCACCTTTCGAAAGCAGGAACTGTATCACATCTTGATTCTGACTGACAGCTGCAGCCTGGAGAGTGTTTCCGTACCTTTCCCCTCGGGAATTAACATCAGCGCCACTAGATACCACAAGCTTCACGACCTTTACGTTTTCACTGTACACGGCAGCTTACAGGAGGTCACCAAATATACCTCCACACGCCTGAGAATCCACACCCTGCGACAGTAGAAATTGTACAATCTTAAGGTTTCCCTTGGCTGCCGCAAGAGCGTTACTGTACCATCCGCAGCCGGCATGTATCTGCCGGCACTGATGTGTAACTTTAGGGTTTCCACTGATGTAGTATCCGTATTACATCTACTTCGGAAGCATCCCCTGAAATAGCCTGACGTATATAACGTCGGTCAGTGGATGAATAGGGCGGTAAGTTTATATAAACGGATCAGGGCTGGCAGGTAGGTTGGATCGGGGATGTGCGGGCGGACATTACATCTTGTATACATATATAGATATAGGGTGCTCGCGTTATATATAGAGTACGACCACGATTCTTCTGAATTGCATTTCTATCTGTGCTCAACTAGCAGAACTCGAATAGGCTATGAGCACATAAGCTTCATGATCAGCTTCATGCGAAATAGCTACAAAATTTACACCCGCCGCAATGAGCCAGTCTGGGACTATTTAAGGACTCTTCACAGGCTGAAGGACCGTTTACTGGGGCTAGTCAAGAAACAGAAAATAGGGTCAAGTCTATAATACCTAAGTGTTGGAGAGGGTTATCAAACGAGAGAATTAAATAACAATGGGAATAATAGTTTCAATGGGTAGCCGCTTAGTCACGCTTACTTAATCCTCGTTTTAATTCCGGCGACATGAGTATAGCTCGTCCGCTGCATGTGATAGGTTCAGCGGGGTATCAAAATTAGTGAGTACTTATGTGAAACAAAAAAGTGTCTTTCTAACCTACCCGGGCCTAGTGCACACGATCGTTATCCAGCCTAGCAGATTAAGAGATGTAAAAACTACACTTATCTCGTCCTCGTCTGACCAAACCTATTGACAAGCCTGACGAGAAAACGCGAGGCAAGACTAGTTTTTTTTTTTTGTTTGTTTAATTCATTGATTGCGTGCAACCTTGCAGTTATGGCAATAGCCCCTGAACAGCCCGATCTCTTCCCCCGCCTCTCGCGTGTATCTGACATAGGAAATAAAAACACTAGTAAATCATCTCTTGTCCTATTCCTCGTTTCCAGCGTCTCTCAACGTTCCCCATCCGTACCCTAGTTCTCTCCTTTCTTCTTCCGCGTCTACATCCTGTCCATTCTTTTCGTATCTCCACCTTGTGAATTGCTTCCATATTTTTGTGGCTGCTAGGCAAGACTAGTTAAGCAAGTACAATACCTTACTCATATCACTCCTCACAAACCGGGCGCAGCCACTAATAAGTAACTCTTATCGTA